CTTGATGCACTGACTCCTGCCTCAGTCCACTCCTTGGTCTGTGCGTGGGGGCTCTTGATGCACTGACTCCTGCCTCAGTCCACTCCTTGGTCTGTGCGTGGGGGGCTCTTGATGCACTGACTCCTGCCTCAGTCCACTCCTTGGTCTGTGCGTGGTGGCTCTTGATGCACTGACTCCTGTCTCAGTCCACTCCTTGGTCTGTGCGTGGTGGCTCTTGATGCACTGACTCCTGCCTCAGTCCACTCCTTGGTCTCTGCGTGGTGGCTCTTGATGCACTGACTCCTGCCTCAGTCCACTCCTTGGTCTGTGCGTGGTGGCTCTTGATGCACTGACTCCTGCCTCAGTCCACTCCTTGGTCTCTGCGTGGTGGCTCTTGATGCACTGACTCCTGCCTCAGTCCACTCCTTGGTCTCTGCGTGGGGGCTCTTGATGCACTGACTCCTGCCTCAGTCCACTCCTTGGTCTCTGCGTGGGGGCTCTTGATGCACTGACTCCTGCCTCAGTCCACTCCTTGGTCTCTGCGTGGGGGGCTCTTGATGCACTGACTCCTGCCTCAGTCCACTCCTTGGTCTCTGCGTGGGGGCTCTTGATGCACTGACTCCTGCCTCAGTCCACTCCTTGGTCTCTGCGTGGGGGCTCTTGATGCACTGACTCCTGCCTCAGTCCACTCCTTGGTCTCTGCGTGGGGGCTCTTGATGCACTGACTCCTGCCTCAGTCCACTCCTTGGTCTCTGCGTGGGGGCTCTTGGTGCACTGACTCCTGCCTCAGTCCACTCCTTGGTCTGTGCGTGGTGCACTGACTCCTGCCTCAGTCCACTCCTTGGTCTGTGCATTGTGGCTCTTGATGCACTGACTCCTGCCTCAGTCCACTCCTTGGTCTCTGCGTGGGGGCTCTTGATGCACTGACTCCTGCCTCAGTCCACTCCTTGGTCTGTGCGTGGGGGCTCTTGATGCCCTGACTCCTGCCTCAGTCCACTCCTTGTGAAGCTCCCCCACATTTTCGAATGGCCTTTGCTTGCCAATCCTCTCAAGGCTCCGGTTATCCCTGTTGCTTGTGCACCTTTTCCCACCACACTTCTTCCTTCCACTCGACTTACCATGAATATGCTTGGATACAGCCCTCTGTGAACAGCCAGCTTCTTTAGCAATGATCTTTTGAGGCTTTCCCTCCTTGTGGGAGGGCGTTGATGACTGTCTTCTGCACAACTGTCCAGTCAGCAGTCTTCCCCATGACTGTGAAGCCTACTGAACTGAACTGAGAGACCTTTTAAAGGCTCGGGAAACCTTTGCAGGTGTTTTGAGTTCGTTAGCTGATTAGAGTGTGACACCTTGAGTCTACAATATTGAACTTTTTCACAATATTCACATTTTCTGAGATACTGAATTTGGGGTTTTCATGAGCTGTAAGCCGTAATCATCAAGATTAAAACAAATACAGGCTTGAACTATTTCACTTTTTGTGTAATTAATCCACGATATATATGAGTTTCACTTTGTCAATTGAATTATTTAAATTACTTAACTTTTCTACAATATTCTAATTTATTGAGCTGCACCTGTATATTCTATACTACAGGATATAGGCCTATGTACTGATATCAATTACACAGCTATCAGTAGCCTAAATATTAGGCTATATTATTTAGAGTTAGGATCTGAATGAGCCCCAAAATTTTACCTATGTGATATTATTATTATTATTATACTAATACATCTCTATTTAACCCAAAAATCTGAGAATTCAGCCAACCCTATTTTGACAGCAAAATAATAGTAACAATTGCCTAATTGTCAAACCAAAAATTAGTGACAATCACTCAAATTGTTAACTTTTCCACAATATTCTAATGTATTGAGCTGCACCTGTATATTCTATACTACAGTACAGCCTTATAGGGTGATCAGTATCACATAGAGCCTTATAGTGTGATCAGTATCACATAGAGCCTTATAGTGTGATCAGTATCACATAGAGCCTTATAGTGTGATCAGTATCACATAGAGCCTTATAGTGTGATCAGTATAACATAGAGCCTTATAGTGTGATCAGTATCACATAGAGCCTTATAGTGTGATCAGTATCACATAGAGCCTTATAGTGTGATCAGTATCACATAGAGCCTTATAGTGTGATCAGTATCACATAGAGCCTTATAGTGTGATCAGTATCACATAGAGCCTTATAGTGTGATCAGTATCACATAGAGCCTTATAGTGTGATCAGTATCACATAGAGCCTTATAGTGTGATCAGTATAACATAGAGCCTTATAGTGTGATCAGTATAACATAGAGCCTTATAGTGTGATCAGTATCACATAGAGCCTTATAGTGTGATCAGTATCACATAGAGCCTTATAGTGTGATCAGTATCACATAGAGCCTTATAGTGTGATCAGTATCACATAGAGCCTTATAGTGTGATCAGTATCACATAGAGCCTTATAGTGTGATCAGTATCATAGAGTGTATCATTCAGCGCGCGAAGCGCTGACCTGCCTTCCTCCTGGGCAATTATATGTGAAACATCTCACTGTCCTAGAACTGCCTCAGACCTGATGAAAACAAGCCCAGATCCCCCCCCAGGGTGACATTCCCCCTAGAACTGCCTCAGACCTGATGAAACAAGCCCAGATCCCCCCCAGGGTGACATTCCCCCTAGAAATGCCTCAGACCTGATGAAAACAAGCCCAGATCCCCCCCCCAGGGTGACATTCCCCCTAGAACTGCCTCAGACCTGATGAAAACAAGCCCAGATCCCCCCCCAGGGTGACATTCCCCCTAGAAATGCCTCAGACCTGATGAAAACAAGCCCAGATCCCCCCCCCCAGGGTGACATTCCCCTAGAACTGCCTCAGACCTGATGAAAACAAGCCCAGATCCCCCCCAGGGTGACATTCCCCCTAGAACGGCCTCAGACCTGATGAAAACAAGCCCAGATCCCCCCCCCAGGGTGACATTCCCCCCTAGAACTGCCTCAGACCTGATGAAAACAAGCCCAGATCCCCCCCCCCAGGGTGACATTCCCCCTAGAACTGCCTCAGACCTGATGAAAACAAGCCCAGATCCCCCCCCAGGGTGACATTCCCCCTAGAACGGCCTCAGACCTGATGAAAACAAGCCCAGATCCCCCCCCCAGGGTGACATTCCCCCTAGAACTGCCTCAGACCTGATGAAAACAAGCCCAGATCCCCCCCCAGGGTGACATTCCCCCTAGAACTGCCTCAGACCTGATGAAAACAAGCCCAGATCCCCCCCCAGGGTGACATTCCCCCTAGAACTGCCTCAGACCTGATGAAAACAAGCCCAGATCCCCCCCCAGGGTGACATTCCCCCTAGAACGGCCTCAGACCTGATGAAAACAAGCCCAGATCCCCCCCCCAGGGTGACATTCCCCCTAGAACTTGCCTCAGACCTGATGAAAACAAGCCCAGACCCCCCCCCCCCAGGGTGACATTCCCCCTAGAACTGCTTCAGACCTGATGAAAACAAGCCCAGATCCCCCCCCCCCCCCCCCCCCCAGGGTGACATTCCCCCTAGAACGGCCTCAGACCTGATGAAAACAAGCCCAGATCCCCCCCAGGGTGACATTCCCCCTAGAACGGCCTCAGACCTGATGAAAACAAGCCCAGATTCCCCCCCCCCCCCAGGGTGACATTCCCCCTAGAACGGCCTCAGACCTGATGAAAACAAGCCCAGATCCCCCCCCAGGGTGACATTCCCCCTAGAACTGCCTCAGACCTGATGAAAACAAGCCCAGATCCCCCCCCCCCCCCCCCCAGGGTGACATTCCCCCTAGAACTGCCTCAGACCTGATGAAAACAAGCCCAGATCCCCCCCCCAGGGTGACATTCCCCCTAGAACTGCCTCAGACCTGATGAAAACAAGCCCTGATCCCCCCCCCAGGGTGACATTCCCCCTAGAAATGCCTCAGACCTGATGAAAACAAGCCCAGATCCCCCCCCCAGGGTGACATTCCCCCTAGAACTGCCTCAGACCTGATGAAAACAAGCCCAGATCCCCCCCCCCAGGGTGACATTCCCCCTAGAACTGCCTCAGACCTGATGAAAACAAGCCCAGATCCCCCCCAGGGTGACATTCCCCCTAGAACTGCCTCAGACCTGATGAAAACAAGCCCAGATCCCCCCCCAGGGTGACATTCCCCCTAGAACTGCCTCAGACCTGATGAAAACAAGCCCAGATCCCCCCCCCCCCCCCCCCCCCCCCCCCCCCCCCAGGGTGACATTCCCCCTAGAACGGCCTCAGACCTGATGAAAACAAGCCCAGATCCCCCCCCAGGGTGACATTCCCCCTAGAACTGCCTCAGACCTGATGAAAACAAGCCCAGATCCCCCCCCCCCCCCCCCAGGGTGACATTCCCCCTAGAACGGCCTCAGACCTGATGAAAACAAGCCCAGATCCCCCCCAGGGTGACATTCCCCCTAGAACTGCCTCAGACCTGATGAAAACAAGCCCAGATCCCCCCCCAGGGTGACATTCCCCCTAGAACTGCCTCAGACCTGATGAAAACAAGCCCAGATCCCCCCCCCAGGGTGACATTCCCCCTAGAACTGCCTCAGACCTGATGAAAACAAGCCCAGATCCCCCCCCCAGGGTGACATTCCCCCTAGAAATGCCTCAGACCTGATGAAAACAAGCCCAGATCCCCCCCCAGGGTGACATTCCCCCTAGAACTGCCTCAGACCTGATGAAAACAAGCCCAGATCCCCCCCCCAGGGTGACATTCCCCCTAGAACTGCCTCAGACCTGATGAAAACAAGCCCAGATCCCCCCCCCAGGGTGACATTCCCCCTAGAACTGCCTCAGACCTGATGAAAACAAGCCCAGATCCCCCCCCCAGGGTGACATTCCCCCTAGAACTGCCTCAGACCTGATGAAAACAAGCCCAGATCCCCCCCCCCCAGGGTGACATTCCCCTTTTAAACGTAGATGAACCCTATAACCCATGGACTGTGCTGTGCGCTGACCTGTTCTTTGAGTTCATCGATGGTCCTCTCGGCCAGCTTCATCTCCTCCTGGAGTTTCTCTCTCTGAGTCCTCAGGGTGTCCAGCTCCGTGCTCTTCCTCTCCGTCTGCTTCTGGAGTTTCACGTGTTCCTGCTTCTCTGACACAGACAGGTCACGCATCCTGAAGCAGAGGCATGACAAGGCATGTATAAACACACACATACTGTATACACTGAACAAAAAAATATATATAAAACGCAACATACAACAATTTCAATGATTTTACTGAGTTACAGTTCATATAAGGAAATCAGTCAATTGAAATACATTAATTAAGGCCCCACCCACTGGGGAGCAAGGCCCAGCCAATCAGAATGAGTTTTTCCCCACAAAAAGGGCTTTATTACAGACAGAAATACTCCTCAGTTTCATCAGCTGTCCGGGTGGCTGGTCTCAGACGATCCAGCAGGTGAAGAAGCGGGATGTGGAGGTCCTGGGCTGGAGTGGTTACACGTGGTCTGCGGTTGTGCGGCTGGTTGGACGTACTGCCAAATTCTCTAAAACGATGTTGGAGGCGGCTTATGGTAGAGAATTAACATTCAATTCTCTGGCAACAGCTCTGGTGGACATTCCTGCAGTCAGCATGCCAATTGCACGCTCCCTCAAAACTTGAGACAGCTGTGGCATTGTGTTGTGTGACAAAACTGCACATTTTAGAGTGGCCTTTTATTGTCCCCAGCACAAGGTGCACCTGGGTAATGATCATGCTGTTTAATCTGCTTCTTGATATGCCAAACCTGTCAGGTGGATGGATTATCTTGGCAAAGGAGAAATGCTCACTAACAGGGATGTAAACAAATGTGTGCGCAACATTTGAGAGAAATAAGCTTTTTGTGCGTATGGAAAATGTCTGGGATCTTTTATTTCAGCTCATGAAACATGGGTCCAACACTTTACATGTTGCGTTTATATTTTTATTCATTATACAGACAGTAAGCATGTATTCACACACACATACACACACGCTCAAGTTCACGCTCAAGCACACACACTCTCGTACACACACACACACACTTACACACACGCTCGTACACACACACACTTACATACCTGACGAGAGCTTCCTTCAACCTGCCGTTCTGCTCCTCCAGCTGTTTGACGTGGTAACTGGAAGCAGCACCGTCTGAACCTGATGAAACAACAAAGTTGGTGTGTGTGTACTGTGTGCGTGCGGCCTGTGAGCGTGCGGCGTGTGCTAGTCTCCTCTCACCTTTCTCCTCTATCTCGTGTTTGAGGATCTCCAGGTCCATGCTGAGCTCCTCTAGTTTCTCCTTCAGTGACTCCACCTCCTGCTGCAGGGACTCGGCCCGCTCCTCAGCCATCTCCTTGTCCAGCGTGGCCATCTCTATAGCGTCAGCCGTGTCTGCCATCTCCTCCATGTAACGCTCCTTCGCCTCCTGGGCCTCCTTCGCCTCCTAGAGGAAGTACATGGAGGATAGAGAGAGATAAGAGTCCACTACCGATATGATGACGGGATGACAAGAGTCCACTACCGATATGATGTGGCCTCCCGAGTGGCGCAGTGGTCTAAGGCACTGCATCGCAGTGCTAGCTGTGCCACTAGAGATCCTGGTTGGAATCAAGGCTCTGTCGTAGCCGGCCGCGACCGGGAGACCCATGTGGCGGCGCACAATTGGCCCAGCGTCGTCCAGGGTAGGGGAGGGAATGGCCGGCAGGGATGTAGCTCAGTTGGTAGAGCATGGCGTTTGCAACGCCAGGGTTGTGGGTTCGATTCCCACAGGGGGTAGGAAAAAATAAATAAAATAATGTATGCACTAACTCTGGATAAGAGCGTCTGCTAAATGACTAAAATGTAAATGATGACAGGATGACAAGAGTCCACTACTGATATGATGACGGGATGACAGTTCTGTCTACAGTTTTAGTCTCTGTAACAAGGGCTGAATTAGTAGTACTGTGAGGTAAAGTGATGAATTAGTAGTACTGTGAGGTATACTGATGAATTAGTAGTACTGTGAGGTAAAGTGATGGTTTCTTTCTTTACCTTCTTGGCCTCTTTGAGGTGTTTAGTCAGGTCGTTCTGCTGCTCCTGCATCTTGTTCTTCCATTCCTGGAGCTGCTCCAGTTGGATCTTATGCTTCTCCAGCTCCTTCAGCTTGACCTTCATAATAATAACAATAATAACATAATAATACACTTTATTTGTATAGCGCGATAGATACATAGACAGCCACTGTAGATGAAATAGATGTACAGTGCCTTCAGAAAGTATTTAGACCCTTTGACTTTTTCCACATTTTTTTACGTTACAGCCTTATTCTAAAATTGATTAGATTGTTTTTTCCCCCCTCAATCTACACACAATACCCCATAATGACAAACCAAAAACAGGTTATACATTTTTGCTAATTTATTAAATATAAAAAACTGAAACATAACATTTACATAAGTATTCAGACCCTTTACTCAGTACTTTGTTGAAGCACCTTTGGCAGCGATTACAGCCTCGAGTCTTCTTGGGTGTGACGCTACAAGCTTGGCACACCTGTATTTGGGGAGTTTCTCCCATTCTTCTCTGCAGATCCTCTCAAGCTCTGTCAGGTTGGATGGGGAGCGTTGCTGCACAGCTATTTTCAGGTCTCTCCAGAGATGTGCGATAGGGTTCAAGTCCGGGCTCTGGCTGGGCCACTCAAGGACATTCAGAGACTTGTCCCGAAGCCACTCCTGCGTTGTCTTGGCTGTGTGCTTAGGGTCGTTGTCCTGTTGGAAGGTGAACCTTCGCCCCAGTCTGAGGTCCTGAGCGCTCTGGAGCAGGTTTTCATCAAGGATCTCTCTGTACTTCGCTCCGTTCATCTTTGCCTCGATCCTGACTAGTCTCGCAGTCCCTGCCGCTGAAAAACATCCCCACAGCATGATGCTGCCACCACCATGCTTCACCGTAGGGATGGTGCCAGGTGTCCTCCAGACGTGACGCTTGGCATTCAGGCCAAAGTGTTCAATCTAGGTTTCATCAGACCAGAGAATCTTGTTTCTCATGGTCTGAGAGTCTTTAGGTGCCTTTTGGCAAACTCCAAGCGGGCTGTCATGTGCCTTTTACTGAGGAGTGGCTTCCGACTGGCCATTCTACCATAAAGGCCTGATTGGTGGAGTGCTGCAGAGATGGTTGTCCTTCTGGAAGGTTCTCCCATCTCCACAGAGGAACTCTGGAGCTCTGTCAGAGTGACCATCGGGTTCTTGTTCACCTCCCTGACCAAGGCCCTTCTCCCCCGATTGTTCAGTTTGGCCGGGCGGCCAGCTCTAGGAAGAGTCTTGGTGGTTCCAAACTTCTACCATTTAAGAATGATGGAGGTCACTGTGTTCTTGGGGACCTTCAATACTGCAGACATTTTTTGGTACCCTTCCCCAGATCTGTGCCTCTGACTCGGAGCTCTACGGACAATTCCTTCGTCCTCATGGCTTGGTTTTTGCTCTGACATGCACTGCCAACTGTGGGACCTTATATAGACAGGTGTGTACCTTTCCAAATCATATCCAATCAATTGAATTTACCACAGGTGGACTCCAATCAAGTTGTAGAAACATCTCAAGGATGATCAATGGAAACAGAATGCACCTGAGCTCAATTTCGAGTTGCATAGCAAAGGGGCTGAATACTTATGTAAATAAGGTATTTCTGTTTTTATTTGTAATAATTTGCAAAAATTTCTAAAAGCCAGTTTTGACTTTGTCATTATGGGGTATTGTGTGTAGATTGCTGAGGATTTTTATTTATTTAATCAATTTTAGAATAAGGCTGTAACGTAACAAAATGTGAAAAATGTCAAAGGGTCTGAATACTTTCCGAAGGCACTGTATATAACAATATATATATTTTTTGTGACCAACCTATTTAGTTTTGTCCTTTTTTTCCAGAGGGGGGGGGGGTACAGTTTTTTTTTTTTTTTACAATCAAAGAAATGTATAGAAAGATAACCCCAACCCATTCCCCCTCTTAGTCCCCATCCTCCCTCCCCATCCCCCCACCCCACCTGATTGAGAGGACACAGTGAACAGTTGGGAGTTCGGGCCAATCTCATGATAAAACGTTTCCTTGGTGTTAAATACAGTCTGTGGACAAACTTAAAATGTATAGGTTGATGGTTCGGATTGATGGTCATATTTTTCCATATTCTGTTCCAGTTAAAGGGTTGTTCAGATTATACTAGATCTGTGGACCATACTTTTTAATGGCTAGCTCAGAATATGACCTTTCCAAAAGTTGTTTATATATTATAGAGATCAGTCCTTTCGGGAGCCCAGATAATTTATTTATAAATCTCATAATTGGATGGTTTGGTAGTTGGGTTTCCCAAGGGACCTAAGTTGCAAATAATGAAAAAAAGGAGTTGCCTGGTAATGTGTATGTATCTTTCAAATCTTGTAATGTTCTTCAACCATTACTGTCCATGATATTGGTAAGGGTACAGATTCTCCATTACTGTCCATGATATTGGTAAGGGTACAGATTCTCCATTACTGTCCATGATATTGGTAAGGGTACAGATTCTCCATTACTGTCCATGATATTGGTAAGGGTACAGATTCTCCATTTGGACCATTAGAAGAATGCAAAAGGCCCCCCTCCAGATCGCAAGGTGTTATTGTGAAATATTGGAGTATGGGCACGCCATTTTGATTCCCAGTTACAATTATTTTTCAATTTTGCGCCAAATAGAAATTGTGTGAGCAATAATAGGACCAAAGTTTATTTTACATTGTTGAAGGGATATTTCAGTGAAGACCACCTCTTCCAGGGCAATAGGAGACACCATATTTCTCTCTATACTCAGCCAGGGGGGCAGAAGAATCATGTCTAAACCAATTTAGGATGGGGTGAAATGCTAGTGCCTGGAAATACAATTTAAAGTTTGGTACGGATAGTCATCTTAGGTCTTTCCCTGTTTGTAAATGTGTTAATGTCACGCCCTGACTCTGAGGACTTGTATTTGTTGAGTCAGGGTGTGTATTTTCTGGGTTTGTGTTTGCTATGTCTATGTTCTGTGTTTAAGATCTAGAATGGGTAGATCTATGTTGGCCTGTGTGGTTCCCAATCAGAGGCAGCTGTAGCTCGTTGTCTCTGATTGGGGACCATACTTAGGCAGCCTGTTGGCACCAGTTAGTTGTGGGATCTTGTTCCGTGTAGAGGTATGTTATTTGTCTACCTTGGACTTCACGTTTCGTTTGTTGTTTTGTCGTGTGTTCAGTACGTAAATAAATATGAATGCATATCACGCTGCGCCTTGGTCCTTCTCGTTCATGAACGATCGTGACAGTTAATTTTATCCAGGATCGTTTACCTTGCCATACACATTTTGAAATCACACTATAGATTTTATCCCAATAGCCAGAAGGGGGATCCATGGGAAGCATTGAACTACAGAAATTCAGCCGTGGCAATATATTCATTTTGACAATTGATATTCTGCTGGTTAATAAAGCAACTGGTATATTATTCCATCTGCTGAGGTTGGATTTAATTGATCTGAGCGTTTTGTTAATGTTTCTGGCAATGGTTTTATCTAAGGAAGGAAATATATCTACTCCCAAACATAGCCGCGGGAAGTAGTTTGGGGGTGAGGGTGCTGCGATTTTTTTTATGAAGCTGAATTTACGTATGATGTTCAATGTGTTTGGGAGTGATTGAGATACATTGTCTAGATATAGTAAAATATTGTCTACTTATGAGATGAAGTGATCAGTAGATTTGAGGGAAATTGGTGTCATTTCCTTTCGATTGACAAATTGCTTGGGCCAGGGGTACCATGGAAAATAAGAACAGCAAAGGCAAAATTGGATCGCCTTGTCTGCTGCTTCTAGTGATTCTGAACGGAGCTATTGCCTGTTATAACTATGGCTGAGGGATTGGCATATAGTATTTTAATAATATGAATGAAATTGGAGCCAATTGCCATATGTTCCAAGACAGACCAGAGATATGACCATTCTAGTCTATCAAAAGCTTTTTCTGCATGGAGAGATAATACAACCAAAGGAGCTGTTGTTCCTGATGAAGCATCTAAGATATGGAATAGTCAATAGAGGATAAACACTTTTTAACAAACCCGGTAACTAAGTCTCGAGACGGGACGACAATATTTTGGAGAACAGTTTAATATCTGTGTTTATCAACGATAGGGGGCGATAGTGAGAACACTGGATGGCATCCTTACCTTTTTTTTAAAATAAAAGCTAAATCAGTGCTGTATTTACACCTCTCCTAAATGAACCTCTGTGAACAGCTGTCTTAATCATTTAGAGCAATAGTGGACCTAATTGATTCCAAAATGTTAAATAGCGAGTTCACGAATTCCATCCCATCCAGGTGATTTGTCTTTATTCATGAAAATCGAATGCCCTTTTGAGTTCTTTAAGAGAGATTTTGCCTCCCAGCGAGGTGGCTCCTTCTGAGAGAAGAGGAGTTCCTAATTATTTTATAAAGGACTTTAGTCTGGCTTGGTGTGGATTTACAATCAGAGGTGTACAGTTCTTTACCGAAGCGGGAGAATCTTTGGCTGATTAATTTGGGTTCTGATAATAATTCCACCCGTTTCAGAATCAATAGTTGCTATATCAGCTAATTGATCATTACTGCGTAGCTTGTTGGCCAGTAAACGACTGGTCGATGGATGGCAAATTCTGCTCTCTGCTCTTATCAATAAATTAATTTATGTCATGACTTTGGAAAGAGTAATAGCTACCTGGTCTGAAAATAGGGTTTGTGGAGAACGCTCTAATGCAGTTTACATATCCAATTCTGATATCTTCTTTAATTGTGATTTATTCAACCCAGATGCAAATTCAGTTGTATTATTTTCAATAAAACCTTTGGTGGCATCCCATAGAATCCAGGGGTCATCGACTGAATTTTTATTGATCACAGAATGTAGTATTTTGTAGGAATGAAACGTTGAAACACCATCTTGTGGTTCTTTTAGGAGATTCTGACATTTTAAGTTGGCAGTAGTGAGTGTGGTGGTCAGACACGCTTGGCAGTAGTGGGTGTGGTGGTCAGACACGCTTGGCAGTAGTGGGTGTGGTGGTCAGACACGCTTGGCAGTAGTGGGTGTGGTGGTCAGACACGCTTGGCAGTAGTGGGTGTGGTGGTCAGACACGCTTGGCAGTAGTGAGTGTGGTGGTCAGACACGCTTGGCAGTAGTGGGTGTGGTGGTCAGACACGCTTGGCAGTAGTGGGTGTGGTGGTCAGACACGCTTGGCAGTAGTGGGTGTGGTGGTCAGACACGCTTGGCAGTAGTAAGCGTGGTGGTCAGACACGCTTGGCAGTAGTGGGTGTGGTGGTCAGACACGCTTGGCAGTAGTGGGTGTGGTGGTCAGACACGCTTGGCAGTAGTGAGTGTGGTGGTCAGACACGCTTGGCAGTAGTGGGTGTGGTGGTCAGACACGCTTGGCAGTAGTGAGTGTGGTGGTCAGACACGCTTGGCAGTAGTGAGTGTGGTGGTCAGACACGCTTGGCAGTAGTGGGTGTGGTGGTCAGACACGCTTGGCAGTAGTGGGTGTGGTGGTCAGACACGCTTGGCAGTAGTGAGTGTGGTGGTCAGACACGCTTGGCAGTAGTGGGTGTGGTGGTCAGACACGCTTGGCAGTAGTGGGTGTGGTGGTCAGACACGCTTGGCAGTAGTGAGTGTGGTGGTCAGACACGCTTGGCAGTAGTGGGTGGTCAGACACGCTTGGCAGTAGTGAGTGTGGTGGTCAGACACGCTTGGCAGTAGTGGGTGGTCAGACACGCTTGGCAGTAGTGAGTGTGGTGGTCAGACACGCTTGGCAGTAGTGAGTGTGGTGGTCAGACACGCTTGGCAGTAGTGGGTGTGGTGGTCAGACACGCTTGGCAGTAGTGGGGTGTGGTGGTCAGACACGCTTGGCAGTAGTGGGTGTGGTGGTCAGACACGCTTGGCAGTAGTGGGTGTGGTGGTCAGACACGCTTGGCAGTAGTGGGTGTGGTGGTCAGACACGCTTGGCAGTAGTGGGTGTGGTGGTCAGACACGCTTGGCAGTAGTGGAGTGTGGTGGTCAGACACGCTTGGCAGTAGTGGGTGTGGTGGTCAGACACGCTTGGCAGTAGTGGGTGTGGTGGTCAGACACGCTTGGCAGTAGTGGGTGTGGTGGTCAGACACGCTTGGCAGTAGTGAGTGTGGTGGTCAGACACGCTTGGCAGTAGTGAGTGTGGTGGTCAGACACGCTTGGCAGTAGTGGGTGTGGTGGTTAGACACGCTCATTTGTCTCATATGGGCAGGTAGCTTAGTGGTTAAGAACGTTGTGCCAGTAACCGAAAGGTCGCTGGTTCTAATCCCCGAGCCGACTAGGTGAAAAATCTGTCGATGTGCCCTTAAGCAAGGCACTTAACCCTGATTGCTCCTGTAAGTCGCTCTGGATAAGAGCGTCTGCTAAATGACAAAAAAAATAAAATAAAATATGACATCGATTAGTGAGAATGATTTATGCCTGTTTGAGTAGAAAGTGTACTCTTTTGTTTTAGGATTATGTGCTCGCCAGGCATCAATGAGGTTGTAATCAGAGAGTATATGCTGGAGAGCTATGGGATTACAATGATGACAGAACTTTGTGTTTTTATATTTTGAATTTTGTGGTCGCACATTGAGATTCGTGGTTGCAAGTACAATTCGCTAATGTGTCATTTAATTTCACAAGTTTGTATCATGATGTGGGAAAGATTTAACAATGGTCTCAAACTTGTAACTTGACATTTGAATACATTCAATAAGATTTGCAAGCATAATTTATTTTCAGAATTATTACAAGCCATTTACGAGTATGAATATTCTGCTGTGAATCAAAAATACACTTGCAGATTTTGAATCTGTGCGCGCTCTAAGTTCTGTCACTGTTGTCACGTTACCAAGAGATTTGTAAACTTGTAGAAAGTTTTGTACGTTTGTAGAGAGCGGATTTGCAAGTATAATTCGATTTGAGCAGCTCTGTGGTCAGGACCTTTTACTCCTGACCAATCAGTTCCCTCTGCTTAAACCACAGCCGCCTAACCATTGGCTCGATTGTTCGATCAATTAAATCTCAGGAAGTAGCTACCCACATGAGCAAGAGAGGACGAGGTAGATAAAACCAAAATGATTTACTTGAAGGTAATCGATTTTTTTTGTGGCATGGCAGTAGTTTGCTTATCATGTGAAATATATTGGTACATTTCAGACGAACTCCAGACCAGCCATTGCATTGACAGCCGCTATTGCGTTAGCTAGCTGGCCTCTGACATTCATCCTAGCTTTACTATCAACTGGCTAGCTTTATCATCAGGCAGCTTTAGATGCGAGGGGAAAATAAATATATTTGCTAGTTAACCATCTGATTGACAAAGTTGATATAAATACCATTCGCTAGCTAGATAGCTAGCTAAATTGAAACTTCTGGGGGAAAGCTAGCTAGCTAACTTCCACCTTCATCACTGCAGTATAGCGAATGTTAGCTAGGTTTCTAGAAAATAAAACTTATATATTTGCCAGCTATATTTTAAAGACTTGTTACTTACTTTTGAACACTTTTTGTCAAACTACTTCATTCCACTGCCTGTTTATTGATTCATTGGTGACTGAAAAAGTTGGCAATAAAAATGCCCCTCTCAATTTCACTGCAAATAGACTAAATAAACATAAAGCCTTCATAAACACTACATACATGTGTTACAAATCATATATAACCATATGTCATGCTTTATAAAGGGTTCATAAATGTGGCATAACTGTGTGACATAACCACCAATATTAAATGTAACATAAAACACTATGTCAAATATGACATACACCTGTGCTTCATAAAGGGTGGTATAAGCACCGCTTAATAAAGGCCTTATACACCATATTACATTCAGGCTTCACAAAGCATCTATAACCCTGTCATGCATCTTGGTAGAGCATTACAATGCCAGGATATTGGGTTCGAATTCTGGGACCACCCATACGTACAAATGTATTCACGCATGACTGTAAGTCACTTTGGATAAAAGTGTCTGCAAAATGTGTATATTACATTACATTTTAGTAAAACATTTCTAGGATGGCCCAACCTCTTTCCCTTTTGGGTGCATAGTCAATATTGGACCTGACCTCAACTTCCCCCAGAATGCTGTGCTGCAGGATGACACACACTCTAAAGTGCAGTCATGCACATCAGAACACGTTGCTAGGGCCTTTTAAAACGTTCCTAGGGCCTTTTGAAACGTTGCTAGGGCCTTTTAAAACGTTGCTAGGGCCTTTTAAAACGTTGCTAGGGCCTTTTAAAACATTGCTAGGTCCTTTTAAAATGTTGCTAGGGCCTTTTAAAACGTTGCTAGGGCCTTTTAAAACGTTGCTAGGGCCTTTTAAAACATTGATAGGGCCTTTTAAAACGTTGCTAGGGCCTTTTAAAATGTTGCTAGGGCCTTTTAAAACGTTGCTAGGGCCTTTTAAAACATTGCTAGGGCCTTTTAAAATCTGTTTTTTTTTTTGCCTACTTCTGCTTTTTCCCTAAATCCATTTTCTTGGTTTTGTTTTTCTGGTTTCAGATTTCCCCTATTTATTTCTGGTTTACCCCAGTTTTTTCACACTTTTTTAAATAGAAAAACAACAACATTGGATTTTCTGTGTTCACAACAATGTTTAAACCACATCAGGGGATGCCTTTTGACGGGTGAGAAAAATCTAAGAAACTTCGATTTTTTTGTGTAGTTGTCTTTTAATTCAGTGAGCATGCCCTGCACTGTTGTTTGGTTAACGGGTTTTCTGCAGTGCAGTAAGCGCACATATGTGACCGACTGACTCGATTCGATCTTATGTAGCACAATTTGAAATTTGAAAGTAGAGACTTAGAACTAGACAATTGTATATCATACACTACAGTTGAGGAACAATGGGAAAGTAATTCTACTTTGAAAGTTGATAAACTTGTAACCTCACTTTTGAGAAAATGTTCCTTGAATATTTTGGTAAACCTACTGGAGAGCTCTTCTTTGTCTCCACCCATTCAGCATCGTTCACACCCTCTAAAGCCTTAGCCCCACCCATCTCTTTAAGGATTCACGTCTGAGGCTATGTACCAAACAACCAAGACTAAAGGCTGGTTTATACTACGGGTGTGTTCGTAAATTCAATCTGGAGTGCCAGAGTGCTCTCTGGGCGTTTGTTTTCTCAGAGCTTTGACCGATTTGTCCGTTTGTAAATTCAGAGCTTTGACCGATTGTCCGTTTGTAAATTCAGAGCGTTTCACTCTCGGACCGTTTAGAGCGAACACTGGACGCTCTGGTCGAAAAGTAGGGTTGATCCGAGCGTGAACTCTTGAACTTTTAAGGTTGGAACCAACATGCAGTGCCTCCAGCAGACAGAGAGGTAAAGAACCATTCGTCCTCCAGCAGACAGAGAGGTAAAGAACCATTCGTCCTCCAGCAGGAAGAGAGGTAAAGAACCATTCGTCCTCCAGCAGACAGAGAGGTAAAGAACCATTCGTCCTCCAGCAGACAGAGAGGTAAAGAACCATTCGTCCTCCAGCAGGAAGAGAGGTGAAGAACCATTCGTCCTCCAGCAGGAAGAGAGGTAAAGAACCATTCGTCCTCCAGCAGGAAGAGAGGTAAAGAACCATTTGTCCTCCAGCAGGAAGAGAGGTAAAGAACCATTCGTCCTCCAGCAGACAGAGAGGTAAAGAACCATTCGTCCTCCAGCAGGAAGAGAGGTAAAGAACCATTCGTCCTCCAGCAGACAGAGAGGTAAAGAACCATTCGTCCTCCAGCAGGAGGAGAGGTGAAGAACCATTCGTCCTCCAGCAGGAAGAGAGGTAAAGAACCATTCGTCCTCCAGCAGGAAGAGAGGTTAAGAACTATTCGTCCTCCAGCAGGAAGAGAGGTAAAGAACCATTTGTCCTCCAGCAGACAGAGAGGTAAAGAACCATTCGTCCTCCAGCAGGAAGAGAGGTAAAGAACCATTCGTCCTCCAGCAGGAAGAGAGGTAAAGAACCATTCGTCCTCCAGCAGGAAGAGAGATAAAGAACCATTCGTCCTCCAGCAGGAAGAGAGGTAAAGAACAATTCGTCCTCCAGCAGGAAGAGAGGTAAAGAACCATTCGTCCTCCAGCAGGAAGAGAGGTAAAGAACCATTCGTCCTCCAGCAGGCAGAGAGGTAAAGAACCATTCGTCCTCCAGCAGGAAGAGAGGTAAAGAACCATTCGTCCTCCAGCAGGAAGAGAGGTAAAGAACCATTCGTCCTCCAGCAGGAAGAGAGATAAAGAACCATTCGTCCTCCAGCAGGAAGAGAGGTAAATAACCATTCGTCCTCCAGCAGGAAGAGAGGTAAAGAACCATTCGTCCTCCAGCAGGAAGAGAGGTAAAGAACCATTCGTCCTCTAGCAGGCAGAGAGGTAAAGAACCATTCGTCCTCCAGCAGACAGACAGGTAAAGAACCATTCGTCCTCCAGCAGGAAGAGAGGTAAAGAACCATTCGTCCTCCAGCAGACAGAGAGGTAAAGAACCATTCGTCCTCCAGCAGGAAGAGAGGTAAAGAACCATTGGTCCTCCAGCAGGAAGAGAGGTAAAGAACCATTCGTCCTCCAGCAGGAAGAGAGGTAAAGAACCTTTCGTCCTCCAGCAGGAAGAGAGGTAAAGAACCATTCGTCCTCCAGCAGGAAGAGAGGTAAAGAACCATTGGTCCTCCAGCAGGAAGAGAGGTAAAGAACCATTCGTCCTCCAGCAGGAAGAGAGGTAAAGAACCTTTCGTCCTCCAGCAGGAAGAGAGGTAAAGAACCATTCGTCCTCCAGCAGGAAGAGAGGTAAAGAACCTTTCGTCCTCCAGCAGGCAGAGAGGTAAAGAACCATTCGTCCTCCAGCAGGAAGAGAGGTAAAGAACCATTCGTCCTCCAGCAGGAAGAGAGGTAAAGAACCTTTCGTCCTCCAGCAGGCAGAGAGGTAAAGAACCATTCGTCCTCCAGCAGGAAGAGAGGTAAAGAACCTTTCGTCCTCCAGCAGGCAGAGAGGTAAAGAACCATTCGTCCTCCAGCTCAGAGACAAGCTGCACTATTCACAGCCCTGTGTAATGTTCAAAGTAATTGCATTGCTGGACTTTTTTAAACTTAATGTATTTTGTATTGTTTTAAAAATGTACAAGTAGAAGGAAATGTATGGTTGAGTCATTTCTTTAATGTTTATTTGTTTTAGCTGTTAGTGATGATTCCCTAAGTGTTAATACATTTGTGTTTACTTTATTAATAATAATAATAATAATAATAATAATAATAATAATAATATGCCATTTAGCAGACGCTTTTATCCAAAGCGACTTACAGTCAGAAACCCACCCATTGGTCTCTCCCCACCCAGAAACCCCACCCATTGGTCGCTCCCCACCCAGAAACCCCACCCACTGGTCGCTCCCCACCCAGAAACCCACCCACTGGTCGCTCCCCACCCAGAAACCCACCCACTGGTCGCTCCCCACCCAGAAACCCACCCATTGGTCGCTCCCCACCCAGAAACCCACCCACTGGTCGCTCCCCACCCAGAAACCCATCCATTGGTCGCTCCCCACCCAGAAACCCATCCATTGGTCGCTCCCCACCCAGAAACCCATCCATTGGTCGCTCCCCACCCACCTGCTATTGTTCCTTGTAATAAAATAAACGCCCCACTCCTTAATGTGATGTTATATGTTGACAAATATTAGAAAATAAGTCTGTTAATTCATAGTTATTTTGCAAAAGAAAGCCAAACGTTTCAGTGCATCCCATGAATAAGCATAAGGAACTATAGGAATAAACATCAGACTAATAATACCTTGTCCTCTGTCCTCTTCATCCTCAGAGTCTCTAATTTCTCCTCCTGATCCTTCACCTGGACACGCAGAGACTCCTCCTCCTGGTGGGGGGAGGGAGGGGAGGGGGGGAGGGAGGGAGGGAGGGATGGGAGGGGAGGGGGGGAGGGAGGGGGGAGTGGTGGGGGAGTGAGTGGAGGGGGATGGGAGGGAGGAGAGATGAGATAGATTGAGAGAGAGATAGCGGAAAGAGAAAAAGAGCTGGGGTACTGATTGATGCGTAGGGAGATATCAGCGACCTTGCTTGCTGTGGTCTGACTATGGAAGAGAAGAGATAACTAGCCGACAGAGAGAAAGAGAGGAAGAAAGAGAAAGGAAACTACCACTCATATTAGACTCAGAAATCGTGCATGCATCCGAATACGAGAAGAAGAAAAGATGAACCCTTTTGCATATAGAGATCGTCAGAGGCCAGACTCAAGAGAGAAGAGAAGAGAGGAGAAAGGAGAGAGAACGAGAGAGGAGAAAGATCAGACAAGAGAAGAGATACAGAAGATAAGAGAGAGGTACATGAGAAGAAGAAGAGAGAGAAGAGAGAGAGAGACGAGGACGAGAGAGGAGAGGGAGAGAGAGAGAGAGAGGAGAGAAGAGACAGGACTAGACGAGACAGGGGAGAGAGAGGAGAGAGAGACAGGAGACAGGGAGAGAGAGAGAGAGAGAGAGAGACAGAGAGGGGGGGGGGGTTAATATAGTACACATGCCTGGAATCACACACTCAGGTAGGCTTCTGACAGAATGTTTAACATGCAGCCAGTCACACCACCACCACACACCACCAAACCACCAAACCACACACACATGACACCACACACCACCACCACACACCACCACCACACACCACCAAACCACACACACATCACACCACACACCACACACACATCACACCACACACCACCAAACCACACCACCACACCACACACACATGACACCACACACCACCACCACACACCACCAAACCACACACACATCACACCACACACCACACACACATCACAACACACACCACCAAACCACACCACCACCACACACCACACCAACAAAACACACCACCAAACCACACCACACACCACCACACCACACACACATGACACCACACACCACACACACATCACACCACACACACCACACACACATCACACCATCACACCACACACACATCACACCACACACCACACACCATCACACCACACACACATACACACACCACCACCACACACCACCCACACATCACACATCACACACACACACCACTACACCACACCACCACACACACACCACACCACTGTACCTGAGTTGCCATAGCGACTTCCTCCTGAGAGAGAGCGTGGATGAGACACTGATGATGACAGTCTATTTATCCTACAGCATCTGATGACAGTCTATTTATCCTACAGCATCTGATGATGACAGTCTATTTATCCTACAGCATCTGATGACAGTCTATTTATCCTACAGCATCTGATGACAGTCTATTATCCTACAGCATCTGATGACAGTCTATTTATCCTACAGCATCTGATGAGGACAGTTATTTATCCTCACGCATCTGATGATGACAGTCTATTTATCCTACAGCATTGATGATGACAGTCTATTTACATACAGCTATTTATCCTACGCATGATGACAGTCTATTTATCCTACAGCATCTGATGATGACAGTCTATTTATCCTACAGCATCTGATGATGACAGTCTATTTATCCTACAGCATCTGATGATGACAGTCTATTTATCCTACAGCATCTGATGATGACAGTCTATTTATCCTACAGCATCTGATGACAGTCTATTTATCCTACAGCATCTGATGACAGTCTATTTATCCTACAGCATCTGATGACAGTCTATTTATCCTACAGCATCTGATGATGACAGTCTATTTATCCTACAGCATCTGATGATGACAGTCTATTTATCCTACAGCATCTGATGATGACAGTCTATTTATCCTACAGCATCTGATGATGACAGTCTATTTATCCTACAGCATCTGATGATGACAGTCTATTTATCCTACAGCATCTGGTGATGACCGTCTATTTATCCTACAGCATCTGATGATGACAGTCTATTTATCCTACAGCATCTGATGATGACAGTCTATATACTGAGCATACTGAGTGTACAAAACATGATATAGACTAACCAGGTGAAAGCTATGATCCCTTACTGATGTCACCTGTGCCAGGCACACCGGTTTGTGTCAAGAACTTGCAACGCTGCTGGGTTTTTCACGCTCAACAGTTTCCCGTGTGCATCAAGAATGATCCACCACCCAAAGGACAACCAGCCAACATGACACAACTGTGGGAAGCATTGGAGTCAACACGGTGCCAGCATCCCTGTGGAACGCTCTCGACACCTTGTAGAGTTCATACCCCGATGAATTGAGGCTGTTCTGAACAGACCCCTAAGGATGCCCTAGAGCGCCTGGTTAAATTGTGTTCAGGAGCATTTATTTACTCTCTCCATGGTTAAAGTAGGAAGAAATAGATGTAAAAATGTGAGTGTGCTACCTTTACTATCATCATTGATCAAGTATTGAATTATTTTGACATAATTATAATATAATTATAATGATGCCATATTACTGTCATTCCCTGGCCTATAGAACTCTAGCTAGTTTGGTCAAGGTGTGAATTTCTAGGTTTGTATTTCTATGTTTGGCCGGGTGTGGTTCCCAATCAGAGGCAGCTGTCGATCGTTGTCTCTGATTGGGGATCATACTTAGGCAGCCAGTTTTCCTGCCTGTGTTGTGGGTTTTTTGTTGTGTTCCTGTTTAAGGCTTGTGTGTTAGCCCTTTGGACCGTCGTCACGGTTACGTTTTGTTATTTTGGTTACTGTGTCGTGTGTTTATTCTTTAATAAACATGTACGCCTTTCACGCTGCACCTTGGTCCGTCCCGTTCCTTAACATGTACGCCTTTCACGCTGCACCTTGGTCCGTCCCGTTCCTTAACATGTACGCCTTTCACGCTGCACCTTGGTCCGTCCCGTTCCTTAACATGTACGCCTTTCACGCTGCACCTTGGTCCGTCCCGTTCCTTAACATGTAACGCCTTTCACGCTGCACCTTGGTCCGTCCCGTTCCTTAACATGTACGCCTTTCACGCTGCACCTTGGTCCGTCCCGTTCCTTACATGTACTGCCTTTCACACACGCTGCACCTTGGGGTCCGTCCCGTTCCTTAACATGTACGCCTTTCAGCCTGCACACCTTGTCCGTCCCGTTCCCTTTAACCATGTCACGCCTTTCACGCTTGCACCTTGGTCCGTCCCGTTCCTTAACATGTTACGCCTTTCACGCTGCACCTTGGTCCGTCCCGTTCCTTAACATGTACGCCTTTCACGCTGCAGCAGCACCTTGGTCCTGTCCCGTTCCTGAACAGGTACGCCTTTCACGCTGCCCCTTGGTCCGGCGTCCCGTTCCTTAACATGGACGCCTTCATTCACGCTGCAAGCACTTGGTCCGTCCCGTTCCCTTAACATGTAACGCCTTTCCATCACCACGCTGCAAACCTTGGGTCGCGTCGGGCCCGTGTGCCTGTAACATGTAACGCCTGTTCAACGCTGAACAAACCGTGGTCCGTCCCCATTCCTTAAGGTGTACGCCTTTTTCACGCTGCACACTTGGTCCGTCCGTTCCTTAAAATGTACGCCTTTCACACGCTGCAGCCTTTGTCCCTCGCCGTTCCTTAACATGTACCCTTTCACAGCTGGCACCATTGGTCCGTCCCGTTCCTTAACATATACGCCTTTCACGCTGCACCTTGGTCCGTCCCGTTCCTTAACATGTACGCCTTTCACGCTGCACCTTGGTCCGTCCCGTTCCTTAACATGTACGCCTTTCACGCTGCACCTTGGTCCGTCCCGTCATTCAACGAACGTGACAATTACGCTAATGTCCTTATGGTGGACAGAACGTGTTACTACATTCATTACACAGACTAACATTTTCACCACATAAGAATTAGTTACAGTAAATACACTTCCTTTTTACCTCAGATTGGTGATGTTGGTATTAAAGTTCATAGTCATCACGATCTCACAAAATCGATTGCTTAAAACAGATCAATGTCTTTGGTTTAGTACCAGTGTTTTTGTCATACACGCCAGTCCGTAGTGGGACTTAGAACATAGCTGTCATTTTCACACCACAGTGGCTAGAAAATACAATTGGCCGCTCCTGTCACGAATTCAGCCGAGGCTGCTCCTCCTCCTCGCTCGGGCAGGCTTCGGCGTTCGTCGTCACCCGGAGTACTAGCTGCCACCGATCTATGTTTCTGTGTTCTACTTGTTTTGTCTAATTTGCACACACATCGTTGACTAAGTTCTGTGTCCTGCGCCTGACTCCGTCCTCCCATAAAAATCTCTGGCCTCACATAAATTCATGGATTTGAGGGGTTTAAAGTATCATTCAAGTGAAAGCCAACCCGTCACTATTTAGAAACCGACGTGAGGTGGTGATTCGTTGAAATGATCCAGTAAAAAAAAGTATTGTGTTCCCTTTTCCGTATTGGCCATCTACCAAAATCATTTTCTCACAGAGATATACACTGCCATCAGAAAATATTCATACCCCTTGATTTATTCCACATTTTGATGTGTTACAGCCTAAATTAAAAAATTGATTAAATTGAATATTTTTCTCAGCCATCTACAGACAATACCCTATAATGACAAAGTGAAAATATGTTTTCAGACATTTATGCAAATGTTTTGAAAATGAAATACATTTTAGAATCACCTTTTGTAGCGATTACAGCTGTGCGTCTTTCTGGGTAATTCTCTAAGAGCTTTCCACACCTGGATTGTGCAACATTTGCACATTATTCTTCAAATTCTTCAAGCTCTGTCAACTTGGTTGTTGATCATTGCTAGATAGCCATTTTCAAGTCTTGCCATAGATTTTCAAGCAGATTTATGTCAAAACTGTAACTAGGCCACTCAGGAACATTCACTGTTGTCTTGGTAAGCAACTCCAGTGTATATTTGGCCTTGTGTTTAAGGTTATTGTCCTGCTGAAAGGTGAATTTGTCTCCCAGTGTCTGGTGGAAAGCAGACTGAACCAGGTTTTCCTCTGGGATTTAGCTTTACTCCGTTTATTTTTAGCCAAAAAAAACAACCTCCCTAGTCCTTGCCGATGACAAGCATACCCATAACATGATGCAGCCACCACCATGCTTGAAAATATGAAGAGTGGTACTCAGTGATGTGTTGTGTTGGATTTGCCCCAAAACATAACGCTTCTTATTCAGGGCATTAAAGTTCATTTCTTTGCCACATTTTTTTGCAGTATTACTTTAGTGCCTTGTTGCAAACAGGATGCATGTTTAGGAATATTTGTATTCTGTACAGGCTTCCTTCTTTTCACTCTGTCATTTAGGTTAGTATTGTGGAGTAACTACAATGTTGTTGATCCATCCCCAGTTTTCTCCTATCACAGCCATTCAACTCTGTAACTGTTTTAAAGTCACCATGGTGAAATCCCTGAGCGGTTTCCTTCCTCTCCGGCAACTGAGTTAGGAGGATGCCTGTATCCTTCTAGTTACTGGGTGTATTGATACACCATCCAAAGTGTAATTACTAAACTTCACCATGCTCAAAGCGATATTCAATGTCTGCTTTTTGCATTTTTACCCATGTACCAATAGGTGCCCTTCTTTGCGAGGCATTGGAAAACCTCCCTGGTCTTTGTGATTGAATCTGTGTTTGATATTCACTGTTCGACTGAGGGACCTTACAGATAATTGTATGTGTGGGGTACAGAGATGAGGTAGTCATTCAAAAATCATGTTAAACACAGAGTGAGTCCATGCAATGTATTGTGTGACTTGTTAAGCACATTTTTACTCCTGAACTTATTTAGGCTTGCCATAACAAAGGGGTTGAATACTTATTGAATCAAGACATTTGAGCTTTTCATTTTTAAATTCATTTGTAAAAATGTCTAAAAACATAATTCCACTTCGACATTGTGGGGTATTGTGTGTAGGCCAGTGACACAAAATCCATTTTAAATTCAGGCTGTAACACAACAAAATGTGTGAAAAGTCAAGGGGTGTGAATACTTTCTGTAAGTTGCTAAATGGCTACCGACAGGTGTTCATCTATCGCCAGCTACGTGTAGTATAACTAAGCTCATTGAGGTTTGTCTGTTAGAAGACGGTACATGTCGCCGCGGTTATTGTCCCAGTTCCATTGATTTCAATACAATATCGATGTGAGTGATTCATTTGCGCACGCTATTGATTACAGTAGAACAAGCTAATCAATTCCAGTCTTGAAATGACCGCTCGGTAAATATTGGTGCGTGTAAGGTAGTAATATAATAAAATACAAGTAATATGTGATTAAGAATTTGGACATCTAAAACCGGTGTTTGACATTTTATGGCCATTTGAATGCACAGAGATACCGTGACGAGATCCTGAGGTCCATTGTCGTGCCATTCATCCGCCGCCATCACCTCATGTTTCAGCATGATAATGCACGGCCCCACGTCGGAAAGGATCTGGACACAATTCCTGGAAGCTGAAAATGTCCCAGTTCTTCCATGGCCTGCATACTCACCAGACATGTCACCCATTGAGCATGTTTGGGATGCTCTGGATCGACGTGTACGACAGCATGTTCCAGTTCCCGACAATATCCAGCAACTTCGCACAGCCATTGAAGAGGAGTCGGACAACATTCCACAGGCCACAGTCAACAGCCTGATCAACTCTATGTGAAGGAGATGTGTCGCGCCGCATGAGGCAAATGGTGGTCACACCAGATACTGACTGGTTTTCTGATCCACGCCCATACCTTTTGTTTTAAGGAATCTTTGACCAACTGATGCATATCTGTATTCCCAGTCATGTGAAATCCATAGATTAGGGTCTAATTTATTTAATTAAATTGACTGATTTCCTTATATTAACTGTAACTCCGTAAAATCTTTGTTGCATGTTGCGTTTATATTATTGTTCAGTGTAGATAAATGGCACTTGGTCTGTTCAAAAAGGACTAAGTTGTTGCGACAACAACACCAACCACGTCTTGAAAGACTTTGCATCTTTAAGGGAGCGGTAATGAGGTGACCAATTAAATGGCTGCAATTGAGATCAAGCTGTACGGTGCAATTGTGGCCCGCAATTCGAGGCATTTCTGCATGTGGGCATTCCTGCATCTGCAAGAACCCGCCTTTATCCTTCTATTGGTCAATGTTTAAGCTAGGACAGGTGGGGAGGTGGGGACCTCCAGTACAGTTGGCACCATAACGTTGGATACCAACCGCCGATAAACCCCACAGAAGAAGAAGAGGCGACGGTGACAACGGTAGACAGTGTCCTTCACCCCCTCCTGTCGTGCACTGTTTTCCCGCAGTTCTCCTAACAGTGGTGAGGGCAGGCAGGAGCGAAGGACACCGCCTCCGGCGTAAGGAGGACTCTGGTAAGGAGGACTCTGGTACATACGTTAGCCCCAGCTGAGGATAATAAGGATGCTGCCTTCTGAGGCAGAATTTCTAGGCAGGATGTTAAAATCGCGCACCTGCCCTTCCCCAAGCTCTGGACAGTGCTGGTCATAAATAAAGCTAGCTAACGTTAGCTGATGGATGCAAACAATGTTCTTCCTCAAAAACATAGCAAAACGACATCATCCGTTTCAGTAGCTATAGTTAGGTAGCTACCTATCTAGCTAGGTGTCATCATCTAAAATACCCCTAATTGATAAAACGGTTCTTATTTGATTAATGGTGGTCGGACCCACCTACGTGAAGCTAGCCACAATAAGGATTAGCCACAATAGTGGAATTTGCGGTTAGCCTTCAAAATAAAAGTGTATCATTGACAGTGATGCAAATTAATACAAATAGTGGAATTATGCCATGGATCATGCTAAACGAGGTTGGCTTGTTATTATATAAATTGTTAATTTGACAAAAATCTGTTGAAATCACACTGGATGTATTAGACTTTAGAATTACATTGGGGGCATATGTATTTCACTGTAGAGCCTTACCCTATGGATTATGGATCAATGAAATGGGGTATCTGTCTACCCAGTGACACCCAGAGAACATTAGCGTCGTAGCTCTTGTCTTGCAGGACTCTGAAACCACTGTGAATTGAGCCACATTTATTCCAGAGGAAAAACAATACAGGTACTGAGTAGACTGACAGCCCATTTAATTGACCCCCAATCCTTAGGTAAGGCTGTGCAGGGCAATATGAACGTCAATACGCACAACAGGCTGACTGGGGAGGTGATTTCACACAGTCGCAGAGCTACAACGCTAATAAGAGCTACAACGCTAATAAGAGCTACAACGCTAATATTTGCGTAAACTCGTCACAGTTGTGCTCTGTGGGTGTCACCGAGTAGACTGATACCTCATTTCATTATCTAGTCTAAATATTGCATGATTTCACCAAATGTAACCTTCTGCGTCACTTTCAAAGAGGTCCTTTTATTTTGAAGGCGAATCGCAAATGCCACTATTGTGGCTAATCCTTATTGTGGCTATTTTCACAACACATAACCCGGTCCCATCACCAGCCAGATGAAGTTTACTGGCTGCTTATAATGTTAGCTTTGGACAACAGGGTTAAGTAACTGGCTACCTAACTAATACTTACTCACATGGATTCCTAAATCATTGCTAAGAATATTGAAAATGACTGTAGTTTCTATTGGTCATTGTTTTCAGGCTAACGTTAGTTGCATTGGTGCTAAAGCTAGCTAGCTACCCCAGAAGTTGCTAATAACATCTGTATCAAAGATATTTGCAAACATTTTTGATCCTGCTCGTTTGATCTTGATCTTATTTCAAATGCTCACACAGACGTTTTTTCCCATTCGGTCAAACAAATAATGCATTATTATCACCGCGCTATTGTAAACACATCGTTGGTGGCTGCTTGTTTGTAGACTTTTTATTTTGTACAGCTTTGACAGTGCTACTGATCGTAGTCGTGGCGCTTGGCTTGCACATGCAAATTCAGCACACACACAACATTCTATAATATAATTTTATTCTTTGACGTGTCAAATTAAAAGCTTATTTGACGCGTCAAATTGTGTATCTGTTTAGACACGCAAAGACCCAAACGGCATTCCGTAACAATGTGGCTACAAACGTCTGGCGCTCAGTGGGATGTAAACGCGTAGAACCAGGGGCTATATCGGTTCTCAGTGGGATGTAAACGCGTAGAACCAGGGGCTATATCGGTTCTCAGTGGGATGTAAACGCGTAGAACCAGGGGCTATATCGGTTCTCAGTGGGATGTAAACGCGTAGAACCAGGGGCTATATCGGTTCTCAGTGGGATGTAAACGCGTAGAAACCAGGGGCTATATCGGTTCTCAGTGGGATGTAAACGCGTAGAACCAGGGGCTATATCGGTTTCTCAGTGGGATGTAAACGCGTAGAACCAGGGGCTATATCGGTTCTCAGTGGGATGTAAACGCGTAGAACCAGGGGCTATATCGGTTCTTAGTGGGATGTAACGCGTAGAACCGAGGGGCTATATCGGTTCTTAGTGGGAATGTAAACGCGTAGAACCAGGGGCTATATCGGTTCTTAGTGGGATGTAAACGCGTAGAACCAGGGGCTATATCGGTTCTTAGTGGGATGTAAACGCGTAGAACCAGGGGCTATATCGGTTCTTAGTGGGATGTAAACGCGTAGAACCAGGGGCTATATCGGTTCTTAGTGGGATGTAAACGCGTAGAACCAGGGGCTATATCGGTTCTCAGTGGGATGTAAATGCGCTATCACGTCTTTCAATCTCATCCCAAATGGCAGTAACCTACCAGAGTCCATACAAAGTGTCAAAACGATTGTCCACCACTGGGAGCGAACTCGTGATACTCGGTGCTGCTCAGACCACTGCCCACCCTTGTACAGTACTGCATTGTATCCTGTAGCCGCCCAACACTGCTTCCAGCTGCCCCCTGGTGGCCATTATACATTTTAAATATTTATTCAAATTCTCCTGCTGCCGTATTATTTTCCTCCTGCTACGAAATGGGTCATATTTAAATCCGACACCTGTACTAAAGAGCTTAACATCTAACGCAAGATATAGCTAACATAACACACTTAGACACTAGGTAAAATTAGTCTTTAAATCTTAAAGCATCTTTATACGGCTGGCTATATATTGTACACATCTAACCCAAGACAGTTAACATTCCCCTAAGCACTAAACTGACAAAATGAGGAAGAACAGCTCATGTGTATTGTGTCATTACAGCCGAGGATATTACATTACTCCAGTGGGCCAGAGCCATACAGTTCAGCTAGTCATCGGTGTTTTCCACTGTACCTTGCTGGGGAGTGGAGGTGCTGGGGCTGTAGGGGAGAGGAGCCCCCCGGGTGTGGGGATGATGGGGGCCCCCAGGGGGGTCTGCGCCGGGGTCGAGGGCTCGCTGCTGCTCATCTCTCCAGCCGAGGCAGACACAGACCCAGAAGGCCCCGCCTTGGAGGCCCCAGCGCCCGCAGGACGGCTGGGCTGGAGGGGGAGAGAGGAGGAGAGAGAGAGAGAGGAGGGGAGAGAGGAGGATGGGGGAGAAAGAGAGGGGGGAGAGAGAGAGAGTGGAGGGGAGAGAGAGAGAGAGGGGAGGGGAGAGAGGAGGAGGAGGGGGAGAAAGAGAGGGGGGAGAGAGAGAGAGTGGAGGGGAGAGAGCGAGAGAGAGAGGAGGGTTAAGGACCATCATCCACCACCTCCACTCCCCAGGGTTAGAAAATGGGACAGACAGACACTGATACTTTGGAATCAAATGGAATGCAAATGAACACAGCTATCAAATCAAATCATCACAATGAAATTTGGGAGAGAAAATGTCTGACAGTAATGTCACCAGAGGATAGATGGGTTAATACAGACCTGTGTAAGAAAAGGATGAGTGACATAAAATATATAAAGAAAGGAAAGAAATAAAAAAGATAGAAAAACATACAAATGAAAAAAAAAGACTGAATTCACTCAAGAAGCTGTAAGGAACAAAAATGCCGCTTGCCTAGAAGATTGGGGCTCCACCTTGGGCCTTCTGGCCCCGCTAGTTCTGAAAGAGGGAGTGGACCCGAGAAAGAGAGGTGAGGAGAGGAGAGGACAGGAGAGGAGAGGAGAAGAGGAAGAATGAGGAGAAGGGGGTCTGAGGAAAGGAAGCGAGAGCGGGAGACGGAGGGGTAGACGGAGAGGGAGAGGATGGGAGGGGGGAGCGGAAAGAACGAAGCAGAGGAGGAGGAGAGGCGCGGAAGAGGGAGAGGAAAGGAGGAGAGGAGGGGGAGAGGAGCGGAAAGAGTGGAGAGGAGAGGAGAGGAGAGGAAGAGAGGAGGGGAGAGGAGAGGGAGAGGAGGGGGAGGAGAGGAGAGGAGAGGAAGAGAGAGGAGAGGAGAGGAGAGGAGAGGAGAGGAGAGGAGAGGAGAGGAGAGGAGAGGAGAGGAGAGGAGAGGAAGAGAGAGGAGAAAGGAGAAAGGAGAAAAGGTACCAACACAAGGGTTAGTGGCATGCTGACACCAGGTATAACTCAATACAGTCAGATCAGCTGATGAGGACAAGATGAGAAGTCCTGCATTGCCACTTTCTGAAAACACATCACATGTCGTCTAAAGCATGACTCTCATCTTTACATTTACAACAGGTTATAACAGGATGAACAGGTTATAGCAGGATGAACAGGTTATAGCAGGATGAACAGGTTATAGCAGGATGAACAGGTTATAGCAGGATGAACAGGTTATAGCAGGATGAACAGGTTATAGCAGGATGAACAGGTTATAGCAGGATGAACAGGTTATAGCAGGATGAACAGGATGAACAGGACACCACACTTGTTCTAACATTCCTCCTGAAAGCCTTGTGTCTGGCTGTTGGAAGCCTTGTGTCTGGCTGTTGGAAGCCTTGTGTCTGGCTGTTGGAAGCCTTGTGTCTGGCTGTTGGAAGCCTTGTGTCTGGCTGTTGGAAGCCTTGTGTCTGGCTGTTGGAAGCCTTGTGTCTGGCTGTTGGAAGCCTTGTGTCTGGCTGTTGGTCTCTGGACACACATGGTTCAACCTCAGAGAGACAGAGACAGAGACAGAGACAGAGACAGAGAGACAGAGACAGAGACAGAGACAGAGAGACAGAGACAGAGACAGAGACAGAGACAGAGAGACAGAGACAGAGACAGAGTCTGTCTGATAAATGACTGGTACCACCAGGCGTCTGTCTGATATAGACTGGTACCACCCAGGTCTTGATAAATGAATGGTACCACCAGGTTGACTGGTACCACCAGCGTCTGTCTGATAAATGACTGGTACCACCAGCGTCTGTCTGATATTGACTGGTACCACCAGCGTCTGTACTGATAAATGACTGGTACACCAGCGTCTGTCTGATAAATGACTGGTACCACCAGCGTCTGTCTGATAAATGACTGGTACCACCAGCGTCTGTCTGATAAATGACTGGTACCACCAGCGTCTGTCTGATAAATGACTGGTACCACCAGCGTCTGTCTGATAAATGACTGGTACCACCAGCGTCTGTCTGATATATGACTGGTACCACCAGCGTCTGTCTGATAAATGACTGGTACCACCAGCGTCTGTCTGATAAATGAATGCATTGTGTCTGGAGGGGGAAACAATATGTCCAATACAGACAAGGGGGGGGTGAACCTTAACCCCCTACTACTCTAACCCCGCTCAGGGGATTTAGTTAGATCACTACACTGTTAGAAAAAATGGGTTCCAAATGGGTTCTTCAGATGTCCCCATAGGAGAACCCTTTTTGGTTCCAGGTAGAACCCTCTGTTGAAAGGGTTCCTCATGGAACCCAAAAGGGTTTTTACCTGGAACCAAAAGAGTTCTACCTGGAACCAAAAGAGTTCTACCTGGAACCAAAAAGTGTTCTACCTGGAACCAAAAGAGTTCTACCTGGAACCAAAAAGGTTTCTTCAAAAGGTTATCCTATAGGGACAGTCGTAGAACCCTTTTAGGTTCAACATAGAATATGGGCACCTGAAGAGTGTTGTCATGCCATCATCTGGATCAGGATATACATATAACCAATGAATAGAGCAAATACCCATCCATCAGGTTAATATGGCCACATGCCATCAAACTACAGGGCCAAAGAACCACCTCCTCCCTATTGGCTGACGCTTTTGACCTGTGATACTGTAACAAAGATTATATGCTGTCACAGTGAGGCAAGTCCTCCTCCTTATATAAATAAGGACATAATACCATGAGATTATAATTAAAGTGGAGGCATGTGGCTATATTTCATAAAAACACCACAGTCATCTCGAAATAATAATACGAAAATAACTGTCTCTCCAACACAGCTCTTATAAAACAGCTAGGTAGTATTTTGGACTGGTATGTAAATTGGTCCGTTATAAAACAGTTTATAAGTCACTGTAAATCAGACTGGATCAGATGTAATGACTAAAATGTAAACATAAATGTATGAAGTTTCACAGTAGAAGCATCTATGAACTATGAACTGTACAGATTGAAAACCAGATAGTGGCATACAGCAAGATGACAAGGCATCAGGGTTGGGGTCAATTCCATTTCAAAGCCAGTCAATTCAGAAAGTTAACCAAATTATAATTCCAAATTTCCTAAAAGAAAAGCATTGAAGCACTGAAATGTTAGTGTGCTTCCTGAATTGACTGGAATTGACCCAAACACCGCAAGGCATGATCCTATCAAGCTGCACTCATTAATGAGCTGTTAACATAACCCAGACGCAATATTCTATATTGGCAGATCATTATACAACAACAATATCAAACAGACACACGTTTATATAATCCTCATAATGAAATGAAGCATGAGTTAAGCACCAATCTAGATCACAGCTCTGCCAACACAAACTGACCAACTAATAGATGACAACAACAACAACAACATCCCATAATAAACATAATCAGATGGTGGTCTGTACCTTCCTGGGGGGCGGAGTCTGTCTCATCATATTGGTAAAAGAAGAAGACACACACACACGGTCACACACACACGGTCACACACACACACGGTTACACACACACACTAGAACGAGAAATACTCAGTTACACAGTGCCATTGCGAGAGCACACAGATGGTCAGACAGACAGACACAGACGGTCAGACAGACAGACAGACACAGACGGTCAGGAAGGCAGCCAGTCAGTGAGGTAGTCAGGCAGGCAGCCAGTCAGTGAGGTAGTCAGACAGACAGCCAGTCAGTGAGTGTAGTCAGGACAAGAAC